AGTCTTACCACGCTCAATCCAGAATGTGTCCCGAATCATCGACAGAGTTAGCTGGTTGCCGGAATGTAGGTTTTCACGATGATACTCACGAATGACGGCTTCCGTAAATTTGTGGTACGGAGGTAGTATGCACTGATGCTTCATGTCGAAATTACAGTTTTTGTTCCGCAGTCTACCGCCGACACGTAAAACTCCATGCTTGTCGATAAATGGTGAAAGGTTGATCAGTTTGTGCTTTGAGTCGATCACCTTTCCTTGCTGCAACTGGTGGATCAGCTCGGAGTAGGCCTCCCCCTGCACTAACTTCACCAACTGTTGTAAGGCGGCTGTCTTCTCCGCATTACTTATCTCCTCTGTTCTCGGAACTTCAGGCTGCTTCTTCAGGATACTGATGAATCTCTGTATCCATACCATAACACGAACCATTCGTCGATAAGAGCTGATGTTCACGAATACAGGGAATGATTCAATGGGTTGCTGGACACTAAGGTTGACAGCTACTCGAATTTCAGAGATTTCTTCAGGATCTTGGAACTCCTGTGGCCACACAGCTTCAGTACTTGACAGGAACTCGGGACCATTCCACCACAAAGATGAATTTTGGAGATCCTTTGGCATCAATCCTCTCGATATGATGTCCGCTGGGTTGTCGTTGGTGCCTACGTGACGCCACTCCATAGTCGATGTCAACGCCTGGATCTTTGTGACACGATTTGCCACAAATAGCTTGAGTTGTTCTGGACGTCGATTGATCCAAGCAAGAGCGATTGTAGAATCGCACCAGAGTACGGTTTGATCCGTAGAAATGTTTAATGATTTAATGGTAGCAGTGACTAATTGAGCTAAGAGCAGAGCACCACATAATTCCAGCCTGGGTATTGTAAGATCAGGCTGCGATTTTTTTGGGTTTGTGGATTTCTTGATAGGGGCCACACGTGACTTTGAGCATACTAGCGATACATTGACCTGACCGTTTTCTTTAGTGGACCTCAGATAGATGCACGTACCGTATCACAAAAACCATGGATTTGGATGGAGACCGATGCAAATGGCAGAATGCAACGCCTCACCTTGACCTCTCGTAGACACTCCAACTGCGACTTGAAATCTGCCCATTTTTCGATGTCTTCTTTGTCAGCATCCTCATCCCAATTTTTCTCCTTCTTCCACAAGCCTTGCATGATGAGTTTCACCACGATGATTACTGGCCCAGCCAAGCCAATTGGATCGAAGAACTTTGAGATGCTCGATAATATATCCCGCTTCGTAGTCTCCGATTTGCCGACGATGATGGAATCAACGTTGAACATGAAAACATCTTCGTCAGGTTTCCAAACAATTCCAAGAGCCTTAACCGATTGTTTCTCACCAACCAGCAATTTCTTCTCAATGCTGTCCTGAGGGAGGGTTTTCAGAAATTCACTGCTGTTCGAGCACCACTTGTGAAGCTCGAATTTGCCGCTTCCAAAAAGTCCGATGATCTCATCTTTCAGCTGGATCGCTTGATCGAGTGTTTCTGCTCCTGTTAAAACGTCATCAATGTACGAATCTTCAGCTACAACCTTCGCCGCCCAAGGAAAACGTGCTGCTTCGTCGATACAAAGTTGCTTCACTGCTCGAACCGCTTGGAATGGTGCACTCGCTAGTCCGTAAGTCACCGTTGTAAGTCGATACACGATTGGATTTCTTATTTCCTTGGGTGTCCACAGAACAAGTTGAAATTGTTGATGCTTATCTGCAGTTAATACCTGTCGATACATTTTACCAACGTCTGCCGTAAACGCAATCTTCGGAACTCGGAACTTCATCGATATTTCATTTAGTTTGGATTGTATCACCGGTCCAACGAGCAGGTTATCGTTCAGTGATTTTCCGTTGCTAGATAACGCTGATCCGTCAAAAACAACGCGGCATTTTGTCGTGCTACTGTCCGGCTTCTCGACTGCATGGTGAGGAAGGAAGTAATCGTGTCCAGGTTCAGATACGTAAGTTTCCAAAGGACCAACTTCCACCATATGCCCTAGACTGATGTATTCATTAATGAAGTCCTCGTAATCTCCAGCCAGCAGCCAATTTTTGCTTAGTCTCCTGTCTAGGGTTTGAAGTCGTTTCAATGCCATCTGCTTCGAATCACCAAGATTAGGACAGCCTTGCTTGAAGGGTAATTCCACCACGTATCGACCATCCTCCTGACGACGGTGAGTCTCGATGAAATGTTGTTCTGCTTGATCTTCTTCAGTCGTACACTTCGATTCAGTACCACAATCTTCCACTTCCCAGAAACGCTTCAGCAATTCATCCAGATCCTCGTTTGTGACCAAAGCAGAAACTAGTGGCTTCTTGACTTCCACTTTTCCACCAATCACCCAACCAAAAAACGTTTGTTGCACAACACGGCTACCATTTAGCAGAGGAATCCGGTTGTTCTCCAAGATCTTCGTGTATACATCCATACCAATCAAAACATCAATTTTATTTGGGATGTTGAAAGATGGATCCGCCAAAATTAGATTTTCAGGAATCATCAAGGTATCTACCTCAAAACCTTCGAGAGGAAGATCTGCTGTTATCCGCTTAGTAACGAGACATTCGATTTCGGTCTCGTACCTGGAGGTGGTAGAACGAATCGTAGCGTGAACCTTGTACTGGACAGCAGAAGTTTTACCGCAGACCCCAGAAACATGTACATCTCCCTTGGTTTTTCTCAGCCCAAGCCGCTGAACGCAGTCTTCGGTAATAAAGTTGACCATGGATCCAGAATCCAAGAGCACTCGGACCTTATGTAACTTCTTGTGGTAATCTTCGACGTAGACGACGGCAGTATTGAGCAAAATTTGACGACGAATCGGAATGGAACGACAAGTTTGGGAAACGGTGGTATTCGACACAGGAGGTTCGGATGGCATCGGTTGTTCACGTTGACCTTTGGGCAGACACCCTTGGCAATGACGGCGTCTTCAGTGCTGTTTGCGACATTGATGTTGGCCGACATACTCTCTGCTTTCCTCAAAAGCTCCTTGTTCCGGCACAGATGCGTTGTTGCACTGGAATCGAAAATCCAATCGACATCGTCTTTTGTCGACTGCACTGCGTTGAATGCCGCGAAAAATGCAGCACGGGCTTCACCTCGGACTTCCTTTTTCTCACTAGGCTTTCTCTGGCATTGTGACGCATAGCGTTCTTGTTTCTTACACCGGTAACACTTGACCATTGACATGTCCACCGATGTCTGCTCCGGTTTTGAATTACTGAAGAACGCGTCCTGCAGTATGTTTGCCTTGACAATGTCTGCCGTATGCTTCATTCCAGATGACTCCAATCCCAGTATCATCGGTTCGTACTGCTTCGGTAGGCCCTTCATCAGCAGACTCGCCAACCAAGTATCGTCCACTTTAAATCCTAACCACCGAAAGCTGGTGACTCGTTGTGAAAAGCTCGTTCACGTACTCCTGAGTCGTTTGACATAATATTATGACTTCATCATCACGTTCAGCGCCAACTAGTCGAATTCCCGTCAGCCGTCTCAGCAGACCGATCTTCCTTGTGGATCCGCTGTGTTCGTAGGTTGTCCCAAGCTTCTTTTGCTGTTTTGGCACTAGTCGTCCGTACTAGTTCGCAGATCTAGGAGTCGATGCTCAGGCATATCGTAGCTAGAGCCTGCTCCGTTCATTTCCTTCAGAAAATTTCTTAGCGTTTGAAAAAAATCTCAATTTGTTTCCTTAGCAACTGTTTGGGCCCTAACCTAATGGGACAATTGATGAAACACGTTTGGTTGATAGTGGTGTGAAAGATGAACTAATTTATTTAATTAACATAAAGTGCTGACGTACTTTGATCATCACTAATTCGATGGTTACTACGCCAACAAATTCCAACCCTTTTATCCAACATCCTAGATATCTCGTGGAAGTGCAAAAGTGTTCTCGGCTTGCATTAAAGCGAGTATTACGTCAACATATTCCTACACATTCCTTTCTTGACCAGCATTCGGAAGTGGCTGAGGCATTGAGGCTGATTGCTAGTCCCAAGCAACGTCTATTGGTTCTCTGTGTAATTACAGCTGATCTGGTAATAACGGAGTTGCATCCACGGGCGGTCAATCATGCTCATGAAAGCCTTAAGAAAGTTTCAAGAAAATTCAGCGCAGAATTCCGTAATAGCTCCGTACAAAATTTTGAAAAGGACTCTGCTGAACCCTCACTTAATCTAGCGGTGCATCGGAGATAAGTCATATAGATCTGTAGGTTATGTCTTAAGTCTCCAAGGCAAGTTTATCAACTGCTGACCCATTTAAAGGAAAACAGTTTCTTTATTAAAGAGGCTTTCTTCCTTTGGCTGGTTCGTCTTTCAAGCAAAGTAGGTCTAAGAGAACATCCATAAATGACATAGCTTGACGCCCCCCTCGTAGCGTATTTGGCTATACTTAATACATGGTCGGTCACAACTTCTTCTATGGATCTTCCGTAACGACGAATTCAGATTACCAAACCTACGTTCCTGGACGAGAACTCCTGGGTATTTGCAAAGTAAATCCAGGTGCAAAGTACCATAGTGTCTTCAAGCTAAGCCCAAAGGGGGTGCGGCTTTGTATTAAGAGTACAGTTAAAATAGTCTCTAGTATGTACCTACTAATGCGGAAGTCGTCAGTACAAGTCCTTAGCGCAACGAAGGCAAATCTAGATCCTGTTACTAAACTTCCAAGTACATCCCCGGGGCAATGCCCAAAAAGCTTACAAGAGAGAATCTTCGAGAACTTTCTGCTCGAATATAGAGTAATCCGAAGAGTTTAAGGACGGATCCAGAAGTTCATTGGGCTTTGAATACGGAGATATTTCAAACCAAAGATGCGACCCGTAATACCTTCTTAGGAAATATTCAAAGTCCAATGAACTTCTGGACCTTAACATTCTCATCAAGTCCTTTTGACTTATTCCTGAAGTCCGTTTCCTTCTGCAGACTAAACCACACTTTCCACATTTCTCTCCCATTTTCAATTCCAGTCCCGCTACTACTCGACCAAGTTCGCCCCGCCCAAGAAGGAGAACAAGGAAAAGAAGCTATCGGCCAACATTCAGAAGTTTCTCGCCAAAAAAGAGGAGGAGGAGCGCCAGAAGACCATCGAAGAGAACCGCAGACGGGAGGAGCTGATGGCCAAGCGGGATCCCAAGGCGAAGCGGAAGATCGAAAAGATGTTGAAGGTGATCAAATCGGCCAACAAATCCGTGCTGGACGATGCCGTCGATCAGAACGACACGGCCGTGACACTGCAAGGGCCGGACCAGCCGGACGAGGACGACTACGGTTACACGTCCAACGTGGCGTCGCAAATCTATCAGCAACTGATGGACAAGTACAAGAATAACCCGGAGGAGAAGAAGTTCAAGGATGGCGCAAAGCGGACCATGTCCAAAGAGGATATGGACCGGGCGAAGGCACGAGTGAAGGACGCACTGAACAGAGTTCAGGAAGAGGAGAACGCTCCTAGGACCAGGAAGCGAAAGGAAGGCACCGAGGGAAGCACCAGGGATGAAGAAAGTGGTAGTAGTAGTAGTAAGAAGCTGGTAGGTCCGGACAAATATGACCCGGAGGAGGATCGAAGGAAGGAAGCAGAAGCCAAAGCGAAGGAGGAAGCAGCCAGGAAAAAGGCTCGCAAATCAACCGGACCTGCGCCTCCGGACTTCGCCACCCTGCTCAAACTGGCCGAACAGAAGCAGTTTGAACCGGTTAAACCTGAAGCTCCGGTCGAAAAAGTCAACAAAAAGAAGGAACCGGACCGTCTCATGACCAAGAAGGAGAAACGAGAATACGAGGAACGGCAAGCTTATCTCGAACAGAAGAAAATTCGCGATCGAATACGAAACGATGCTCGCCTATCGGAAAAAGAGAAACAGATCAAACTGGCACAGTACGATGCATTCAAAGCCGGAAAGGCACCACCGGCAGCGAGTGTCAGCAAACCCGGAACAACCACTACAAATGTAATGGCTCCAAATGGCAGAATCCCCAAACTGAATTCAGCTGGCTCTGGAAGGCCTGCTGCTGCCACGCCGTCAAAACCGACGAGTTCCTCCTCCAGCACAACACCCAGCAGTACCAGTTCGAAGCCGCCAGCTTTCCGACCGGAAGAAAAGCGGCCCTCGTCACTCCAGAAACCTACTTCCGAACCGTCGTCATCAAAAAGCAAGCTCGAAGCTGCTCTCATGGCAGCCAAAAAGCCACCAGTCAGTGCCCAACCTTCTTCCATTAGGAAACCGGTATCATCTGCCCATCAAAATGGAACTTCTAAAATCTCATCGACCACGTCGTCGAAGCCTGCTGCGCCAACCGCAAAATCCGCACCCTCATCGACGGCCAACGGCCAAAAGACTCGACCATTCCCACCGACTGACGTCCAGAAGACCCGCCAGTTCCCGCCACCGGACGTACAAAAAACGCGACAACTTCCTCCCCAGGATATGATGCGGAAGCGACCGATAGATGCCCGCGGTGGTGGTGGCGGCGGCGGCGGCGGCGGTGTCGGTGGAGGAAGAGGTGGATCGTCATCGTCCAAAAAGCGTCGGCCCGTCATCGAGGACAGCGACAGCGAGTACGACTCCGAAATGGACGACTTCATCGATGACGGCGACGAGGAAGAGGACTACTCGTCGCAGATCCGTGCCATCTTCGGATACGACAAGTCCCGCTACCGGGACGAGGACTTTGACGACCGGGAGATGGAGTCCACCTTTGCCCAGCAGATGCGCGAGGAGTTTATCAGCAAGAAGATCGGACTGATGGAAGATCTGGAGGATATGCGTATGGAGGAGGAGGAGAAAAAGATGAAAGCACTACAGAAGAAGAAAGAGGCCAAGCGGAAGTGAGAGTTGGTTGGTGGATTATTTTGATTAATTTTAACCTTTAGGGGACATCTTATTTATTTTTTAAAATATCATTATGAAGAGCTCTTTAGTTGCGTGGGTCACCTACAAGTGAGTGCTGCTAGTTCTAGGTGGTCTTTTAGAAGGCTTATTTTTTTTTGCAACAAAATGATTGGCGGATTTATCTACCCCCATTAAAAAAAAGTAGTGCAAACGTTTAGATTGAACATTGTGACATTGTGAGAGACTATTTTTGTCTTGAAATATTTTTTTTTTGGCTAATATGAAAAATTTCTCATTAGAAGAATCCTTATAAGCAGACGAAAGTATATAAACGGAATAGTTGCAAATGATATCCAGCTGGGAACGAGCGTTTTCCTTGCTATTGTGGAAAGAAATTCCAAGTTTTGTTTTCCGTACTGAGTACCAATGCTAGCGACGCCAGGGAGGCAGGTCCCACACCTGGACCTATCGACCCATCAACTCATGGACCGGGGACCAACGGCTTTACTTCTCTTCCGAAGGAAGGCGTGATCAGAGATTTTAGGCCTCAGAAAATCCCGGCGGCGCCGACTGGGATTGAACCCAGGCCTTTTGGGGTGAGAAGCCACTACACCACCGGCGCCACTAAGAAATTCTTAAACGACCTACACTCTAAAAAATCTTCACGTCTGATTTACATGAAATATCACGTACCTGATCTGTATTTAGAAAATCTAAAATGTTACGTGACGTTAGTAACTTTGACCTGAAATACACGTCATGTCCCATAAAAATGTTGGTGAAATTGACCGTATATTCACGTAAACAGATTTAGTGTATTTGTGTTTGTGTGTTTGGGACTTCGATATTTCTGTGAAATGAGATTTACGTGATTTTCATGTACGCAAAAAAAAATTCAATCTGGCGTCACCGAGCGTGGTGGAAGAACTCCTCAAAGATTCAAAATTCCTCAGCGCTTGCTGCAAATGTTGGACGGTAATTAGATTCTTTTACATTAATTTATTTATGATTACATGTAGCCTTTTTCAAGTTTTATAATTTCAGACGGTGACATCAGCATTTTGAATCTGCAAACAGGTGTTAATATTTTGTCAGAAATAAAAAACTCATACACGTTTCTACCTTATCTAATCATCTAGTCAATATTTTACAATTTTATGAGTAAATATAAGTATTAATTTAAACACGTGAAATTTATATCTCCCCGATAAAATTGCATAATATTGACTGCTTCTATATATAATGCCCACAAATTACATGAAAAGCATTTTAAACAAAACGGAATGTCACGTAAAAGTTACCAGATGTCCAGTAGTTTTCACCGCGATTTCACGTAAGCTGAACGTGGAAATCAGGTCTTATTTACCTGACTAATCACGTAGATAATTGAAGCTGAATTTTATCGGCTATGTGCAATTCCGGTAAAAGTTACGTGAAAAATAGGGTGAACGAAAACCACCTATGTTTTCACGTCAATCGGACGTAAAAAATTTTCGGTTTCGTGAAACTAGGACCAGGGAAGCCGGTGTTGCAGAAAACAACGCTGGGCTGGGTAGTCTCCGGAAGAGTTGGTCTGCGTCAACCATCTAATTCAGCAGGCGTCGCTCACGTTTGCAGCATACAATCCTCACTTCACTGAAACAACCACTAGGGACGAGGATGGTCGGTTTGTTGTTACATTGCCGAAGAAGTTGGAGGTTTTGCATCAACTTGGCAAATCCTACGATGTAGCCAAACGTCGGCTTTTGTTGCTGAGTCGTCGTCTCGAAGTAAATCCTTCACTCAAATCAGCTTATTCGGCTTCATTGAAGAATACCTCGAGCTTGGGCATATGGAGGAAGTTCCCAACGAGTCATCAAGTCCGTCGTTTACATACTTTCTTCCACACCACTGCGTGGTTCGTTCAGATAGTCTTACCACCAAATTACGGGTTGTTTTTGATGCTTCGTGCGCCACGGACTCAGGAATATCCCTCAATGATGTATTGATGGTGGGTCCGGTAGTGCAGGAAGACCTAGTCTGCATTACCTTACGTTTCCGATTTCCAAAATATGCCATTATCTCTGACATTGAGAAAATGTATCGTCAAATCTGAATGAACTTCATTGACCGACTTCTTCAGCAAATTCTGTGGCAAGACAAACCTGGTGGATCAATCCGGGTCTTCAAACTCAAGACTGTCACGTACGGAACATCCACTGCACCCTACCTAGCCACTAAGTGTCTTCAAGAGCTTGCCAAACAAGACCAGTCGTCTCATCCACTTGCCGCAAGGGTTCTCGCCAACGATTTCTACATGGATGATATGATTAGCGGAGTTGACGACGTGGACGAAGGAAAAACTCTATGCACTCAGCTCCTTGAGTTGTTGCAATCCGCCGGTTTTAGTCTCCGTAAATGGTCGTCAAATTACCCAGAAATTCTGGAAAGCATCCCCGCTGAGCTCCGCGACGAACGTTCCGTTCTTGACTTAGATTCCACTTCATCGGTTAAAACCCTGGGACTCAAGTGGACACCAACCTCCGACAAACTCGGTTTCCACGTACCGAAGTGGAATGAAGAGGGTGCCATCACCAAACGCTTAGGACTCGTAGGCCCTGTCATCGTACTCGCTAAATGCTTTATGCAAGAGCTCTGGGAAAGTAAGAAGACCTGGGACGAACCGTTAGAAGAAGAACTGCAACATCGCTGGCTGCAGTTCAGGGGCGAACTTGCAGCTGTTGAAACCATCACTGTTCCACGGCGAGTCATATCGATTTCCGAACCTATCATTCTCGAAGTACACGGTTTCAGCGACGCTTCTTTACGTGCGTACGGAGCCTGTATTTATTTACGTGCAGTATCATCCAGTGGGGAAATCTCTGTTCATCTCCTCACTTCCAAGTCGAAGGTCGCTCCTCTGGGAAATAGTAAGAAGCAGAAGAAACTCAGTCTTCCACGCTTTGAACTCCCCGGTGCATTGCTATTGAGCCACCTCTTCCAGAAAGTACAACAAAGTCTGAAATTGAACCTCAAATCCTTCTCTTGGGGTCGATTCAACCATTGTGCTACATTGGTTGGCAGCGACTCCTTCACGCTGGAAGACATTTGTGGCTAACAGAGTCTCCGAAATCCAGCACCTAACAACGCATGGAGTTTGGGGAAACGTATCCTGATTAGAAAACCCCGCAGATATTATTTCGCGTGGAATGCTGCCTACTCAACTGATGGAAACTGACCTTTGGTGGCACGGCCCTCCCTGGCTTCAGCAAATCTCTAGATTCTGGCCGTCACACATACGTACATCCAACGACGATTTCCTAATTGAAGATCTGGAGGAACGATCGATTGCTCTTCCAGTACAAAGTCAGCCGCCAAACCCAATCCTCCGTCTACGATCGTCGTTTCCAGCATTAGTTCGTCTAGTGGCACATCTTCGAAGGTTTATCCACAACTCTAAGCGTGCGAACCGGCAGAATCGAACCACAGGGTTTATCAAAACATCAGAACTTCATCAAGCAACACAAACTCTCGTCCGTATAGCACAATCCGAATCGTTCCAAGAAGACCTCCAATCACTTCGGACTAGTGAACATGTAAAGACAAATTCAAAGCTAAAATCTTTGCATCCAATCCTCGTCAACGGGATCCTGCGCATCGGTGGCCGGCTTCTAAACGCACCTGTTTCAGAAGACCGGAAGCATCCGATGATCCTCGCCACGCATCATCCACTAACTGAACTCATCATGGCGTCCTACCATCAGAAATTGTTACATGCTGGACCGCAGCTGCTGATAGCGAGTGTCCGTGAGAAATTCTAGCCACTACGAGTACGCAACCTGGCGCGGAAAGTAGTGCACGATTGTCTGCAGTGCTTCCGTTGCAAGCCCACTGTAACCGAGCAGCTCATGGGAGACCTACCTGCCAAACGCGTTACTCCAGCTTTTTCATTTCTCAACACTGGTGTAGATTTATGTGGCCCGCTCTTCTATCGACACGCTTTGCGAAAATCGGCTCCTGTCAAGTGTTACGTTGCAATATTCGTATGCCTTGCAACAAAAGCGGTACATGTTGAGCTTGTAGCTGACCTTTCGACTAACGCTTTCATCACTGCACTGAAGCGTTTTGTAGCCCGGCGTGGCAAACCAGCAGTGATCGAATGCGATAACGCAAAGAATTTCCTGGGAGCATCAAGGACGTTAGCGGAGCTCTACGAGCAATTCCGTTCACAACAACATAAACACGCTGTCACCGCTCACTGTGCTGAAGAAGGAATTAGCCGGTGCCGGTGGTGTAGTGGTAAGCGTGACTGCTTTCTAACACCCCAATGGGTCTGGGATCAATCCCAGCCGAGGTCGGTGGGATTTTTCTGAGGCATAAAAATCTCTGGTCACGTCTTCCTTCGGAAGGGAAGTAAAGCCGTTGTGTTGTTGAATGGGTGCGACATCCTACGCAGGTGTGGAAGCTGCCTTCCTGCACATTCGATTGTCGTCTACGGAAGGCAATCGATGTCCGTCGGTGATTGGCACTAGATTTGGAAGCCCCTAGTCCCTCTAACACGGTCCTGCCAGTACCAGCCAGCGTTCTTCACAGTCGTCCTGGTCCTGTTGTTAGTAGGGGTTCGGGGGTCTTCCAGCCTGCTATGCCAGGCAAGTACAATGATAACTCTGAACATTCACCGCCTGACGCCATTCCGAATTTCAGCACTGTATCGGTACTCTCTAACACTCGAAGTGTGGGTTGCACCACTGGATTCTCCGATGCAGCCCCACCTTCTGCTGCCTTTGATCATCGAAGCTGCCCTAATGCTGTTATCAGAAGTGAAATTAGGATGCCCAAAAGTTCCCTCTCAGGCGAGGTGTACACAGATTCTCAACGTCTTGCTAGTACTAACCAGGACGTCACTATTTACTATCAGAACGTAGGCGGGATGAACTCGAACGTTAAAGACTATCGTATATCCGTATCTGAAAGATGCTATAATATTATTGCTCTCACAGAGACTTGGCTCGACTCCCGCACGATCTCCAATCAAGTGTTTGGATCTGAATACGAGGTTTTCCGTTGTGATCGTAACCCCCGCAACAGCCGAAAATCAACGGGAGGTGGTGTCCTCTTGGCTGTCGGTTCTGAATTGAAAGCCAGAGCAATTGAAAATGATCTGTGGAACAGCGTAGAGCAGGTCTGGGCAGCTGTGGACCTAGCGGATCGCACGTTGTTTGTATGTGTGGTCTACATACCTCCTAACCGAGCTCGAGATATAGATTTCATCGACGCCCACTGTCGTTCAATTCAAGCTGTCTTGGAAAGCGCAACTGCTATTGACGAGGTTATTGTCTTGGGAGACTACAATTTACCTGGTATCTCGTGGC